ATGTGTGTGTGTATTATATACACACAATATAACAAACACAACATACTTTTGAGCACCTATGTGCTATATATACATTTTTTTCAAATACTTATGATCTGGCAATGAATAGAATGCAACCCACTCTGGCTCATTTAAAACTTTTTTCAGGTGAATTTCCTTTTCAGCATCAATTCCTCTTTTATATAAACTAGGAATCTGGGCACCATCCAGAACCCAGTCATGTCTCTGGAGACCTAACTGTTTGGAGGACTTCGCCTCTGGTTTAAAATAATCAGTCTCCTGGAAGAGCGGGGCTTGAAATAGAATGTCTTTTACAGCTGCCTAACCTTGGGCAATGCACTTACCCTTACTGAGCCTCCTTTTCCTCATCTATAAGAATAATACTAAGTATCTTTTTTTGCATTGTCATTGTTAGTGTTAAGTGAATTTATGTACTTGAAGTATTTTTCACAGGAAGACAATTAGAAACAGTGATCCGATACCAGATGTGCCAAATACAATACATGTGGTCTTCCCAGTGTGGCACAAATTACCAGAGAGACCTTGAGCAAATACTGTCACCTCTCTGCCACTTTTACACATCTATAGAAAGAAAAGATAGGACTAGAAAACATTTCATCTACCACATTGTTCTAACACACTTTGATTACTCATTCTAAATATAATAATGCTGCCTCAGCTCCAATGTCAAGGACTTTTGTTTTCTTCTGTGCCATACTCACTGTGCCTAGAAAACTCACTGACACATACTAAGCTCCCAGTCCTGTTGAATGAATGCATGCAGGAAATTTGCATAAATAGCAAACCTTGCTGTAACATAGTACTTCTAGATATGTCCAGATTAAAAAAGGGAAGGAGAGTTTAAGTTACTAGCACGAAGTATGTGTGTGTGACGTGCATACACATACACATACACATACAGTCTCTCTCACATACTGTGGCTAAAGAGCACATGCTGAAGCCCAGATTTGAATGATGTTTCCTGATGAAGGGGAAGTACTCAAAGAAAATCTATCTAGAAGAAACTATCCCAGCATGTAACAATCAGATATTTCTTTTTTAAAGACCCTCCTGAAACAAAAGAAAATCCTGATGACTGTAGTTCTTAAAGATATTATCTATTTATTATTTGATAGAGAGAGAGAAACACATGTGCAGGCACACAAGTGGGGGGGAGGGGTGGAAGAACAGACAGACTCTGCTCTCTGAGCGCTGAGCCCCACTCCGCTAGATCTCTGGACCCTGACGTCAGCACCTGAGCTGAAATCAAGAGTCGGTCACGTAACCCCTGAGCTACCCAGGTGCTCCAACGATTGTATAGTATTAAATGACTCTAAAATACTGCTAACGTTACAGACTAGCAACTTAAATAATTTGCTGACTCTCACAAAATAGCAACCTTTATTCAGCTTTGGGCTGTTGAGGCTACAGAAGGCTGCTAATTCCAGTTCTGAAAGTTCCAACTAAACAGAAAAGCTGGAAATTCAGATCGTATTTGGAATCTCTCAATCTTTAATGCTGACAAGGAATTCAAATGGATATACTTATATGGAAAAATAAGCAAAACAAACAAACAAAAAAACAAAACAGTTGGATCTCTTGGTATAAGGAGAATAGAAATGCAGTAGATCAAAGAAAGAATATTTGCTGAGTGCCAACACTGTGCCAAGTTCTACTCTCAGTCCCACTATTTAAATCTTGATATAAAACTATATCTCAGTAATATGTGCTCCATTTTATAAATTTTAAAAACAATACAGTAAGTTATCATTTTAATACATATTTACGGAAGTTCTCTTATATGCCAGGACCTGAGCCAACTTGTAGAAACACTGCAGAATGGTAACATGAGATAGCTATAGCAAGCCCAGGAGTTGATAAGCATAAAAAAAGTATCACAGGAGCAATGATTGTTTCTAAGAAGTGTGTGGAACATGTGCATGACTTGAAGGGATGGATAACAGTGTTTCTTTTAAATACTTGCCTAATCCTTAGGTGCAGACTTGGGGTAAATAAATAAAATATTCATTCCTAAGGCCTGAAGTTCGAAAAATATTCTGAAAAGGAGAATATTCTTATTTACTTAGTTTAATAATGGCTTTCAGACTGGGGGAGCTCTGAGTTAGATCAAATCAATACAGCCTTACAAAAACAGTCTTCCAGGAAGCTATCAGATCAAATAATGACAACTCCCTGGGATCGAGTCTTTGAAGAATCTCCTGTCCCACTCCGCCTCTCCGGTGCCTGCTAGCCTGCTACTTCTTACCTCGCCAGCCGGTGTCTGGTTTTTCAAGGCTACCTCACAGCTGGAGAAGCAGGAAAGGACATAAGGAACCTTAAATGCTAAAGCTATTAAAATAAACTAAAAGAATGAAAGAAAAAAGACAATATCCAGTTCCAATAAATAATAAAATTTTAACCTAATTTAATCTTTAATTTTTTTAATGCTAAAGTTAATGCTGCTGTTCAAACAATATTCCATCATTTTTCTTGCGTAAATGATCCCTGCATTGCTCCAAAACTGGTTAATTTCTGGAGTTCTGAAAAATTGATTCTGACAATATTTGCCAGTTTTCTCATGGCTTATATGGAGAAGACTATTTGCAGAGGCCCTTACTCCAAAATTTTCGGTGGCCTCACTTTTGATCTATGTAACATCTAATCAAAAATTGTAAAACCTACTAACAATAGAGTAATATATTAATTCTTATTAGAATTAATTACACTTTGAATACTCATTTCTTTATGCTATAATTTTAAAATTTCCTTTATTTTGTGTTTGAATGACATAACACAAAATAAAACATCTATGTTCTCTACACATTGGACAAGTGTGGACAAGTACATACTGGGGCAAATGCACATTCACTGAGTTTCTCTACTTTAACTTTTTTTTTTTAATATCAACATCAGGCATAGCTATGTCAAAGAAACATAACTCAAAACATTATAAGAATGTTGAAGATAAAACACATTGTTTAAAAAACTGAACACGGGGCACCTCATGGCTCAGTCAGTTAACCTGACACTTGATTTTGGCTCAGGTCCTGGTCTCAGGATTGTAGGATCAAGCCCTGTGTTGGTCTCTGCACTGAGTGTGGAGCCTGCTTGAGATTCTCTCTCACCCTCTACCTCTCTGCCTATCCACCCTCCCCACATACTCTCTCTACAAAAAAAAAAAAAAAAACACCATTACTGAAAATTTAAAAATTTAAAAAAATTAAAAACAACAAAATCAACAGTATACTAACAATTATAATGGAAGGAAAAAGAAAGCATAAAGTTGTTAAAATGGAAAGTGCTCATTCTGGATGTAAAGGGACTATGTTGCTACAACAGAAATAGTTGTGTTTTATACAAAATTCATGTACAAAATTGGGTAATCTCCCCAAAAATTTAAACTGCAAAAGCAACTACAAATCAGATTTACCCTCAAAGATGGACTCTGCCAAACCTTTTCTGAATAACTCCTGGATAGAAAGAGGAGACACACAAAACGAAATTCAAAGGGAATACGAAAAATTTTCTCAGGCTTTTAAAAAATTAACTTCAACCGCACCTATCAGCTATCATCCCTGAAAGGGCAATTTAAAATATCTATATAACAGATCATTTTTGGTATGTGAAAAAATTCAGAGTACAAAATATAGCTATAGGTTCCCATACATGGATATTATCCAGCCATGTACTTGTAGAGGGGTCATAATAGATGAAAGAAAAAAAAACAATTTGAAATGAGGAGTGGGAAGAGGAAAACAGAAACGAAGAAGAAAGAATATAGGAAAGGTAAAAGAGAGACTAACAGAATATACACCATTATGTTGGCACTGGCTATGTTTGTTTGGTACTATACTTTTTCCCTTTGGCTTATATTTATGTCCTAACAGCTTAACAATCTGCTAATATACTTTATTTAGAGTATGTCTCTAAATGCAACCATAATTTTTAACAACCAAAACAAAATACCATCTTAATGAAAGAAATCACACTGAGATTAGGAAGTTAGCATATAAATTATGAATTACAATAATTAATACCACTTGTTTTACCTCCATAATAACTCTGTAAAGGACTGAATAACATACCTGATTTTTTCTTCAATTGCAAAAAAAAAAAATAATAAGTCTTGACTATTTGAGTTATGACAATGTTAGATTACTTAATTACACCAAAATTAACTTTGGAACTCATAGGAACTATTATTACTGCGAATAATTTTCTAAATGAATTACTTATATACACTATACTCTAAAGTTTTAAACATTCAAAACATTTAAATTATTTTCTCAAAATAGAGTATTGAAAAATACTATTTGTCCTTGCCACAATATGGTTCTATAATGAATTTAGGTAGTTTGAGTCTGAAAATTATAAAATATATAAATAAAAATCTCTCAAAATATGAATTGTTTTTAATAAGTCATGCAATACAGTTATTATTTTCTGTGTAATATAATGATTTTATGTCACACTATTTTACTTATATTAATATTCCATCTGATAATATAGTATACTTTTAATTGAGCAGAAGATAATGAAATACTTTTTAATATAATCCATGTATTAAGACTGTAGTTTTACTTAATTTTTACCTAAAACACATTATTTCTAATGTACACCAGTAAAATAAATTACTAGCAAAAACAATTGCTGATTATAAAAATCTTCCAATGAAACAGCTTTCTGAGAGTTTTCACTGAAGAAAAATTAAAGAATTGAAAGAAAACTCTGATTACCTACTTGATTGTCTAAGAAACTTTTAATCTCAGTAAAATTTAAAGGAATTTCTTATATCACTTTCATTCCCTAATGTAGTGAATAAAATACAAAATAAATTGTGCTTGAATCAATACTGGCCATTGACATGTTAATCTGTATTTCCTAGTCAATATAACCAGGATAATAGCAAATCAAAATATTTTCAGTTAATTTTCATTTTTGACATTTAACATGACGTCCACTCAGGAAGCTTAAGTTGTTGGGAAAATATAAAGGCTTACCCCATTTTTTGGAAAAGCAATCCATCCCAAGTCCCCCATGACAGTACGTGAATCCAATAAATTCACTGAAAGAAAAAGAACACAAAACTGAGTCAAATGTATAAAAAAGTATCACTATTTTCATAGTGTTAATAAAGTGCATATTTCTTACATAGCTGAAATTAAATTAAGTATTCGTCATGAATACAAGAGTTATAATTTAATGAAAACACTATTTGGATGCATAAGAACAAGTGATTTTGAATAAACATGTGGAAAACAATTACAGCAACAGTACGTAAACAAGTCATTACTCTAAGTGCTCTTTTCTGTCAAATAAGAATAAAAGAAAAGAAGTAGCAAAAGGAAAAAGAAAAAAAATGAAGTCGACAGAAAACTAAGGACTATGTCACTCCTTTAAAGGCTCTCAATTTGGGGATTAAGCTGCCATAAATTTGTGACTAAACATATTGTATTTTCTTCTGGAAAGCTATTATGAAGCAATTAACAAATAATTTACATTAAACAGAAATAAGCTATCCCCAAGTTTGTAAGATTTTTTTTTTGTGATATTAACCGAAATCTGTAATCCAAATTGCAAGTTAAATTAGGAAATAAATCCACACACGCATAACTAAGCCAAGAAAATTATAGCAGCTCTCAGGGTTGTTGCTAGAGTTAAGTGTCGACTGCATTCCCCAAAATATCTTCTACTTACAAATAACCATAGTCTATAATGTGCTTCTTATAGAACTATCAGCTACATTTTTGAAATGTAGACCTCAGTTATGGTTGTATATCCTAAAATATTTGGAACTGCCAGAATGGAAGCCCGAATATCATTATTACAAAAGGAAGCCATGAAAGACTATGTGTACACACATGCACTCACAGATACACACACAGTGTTTATATTTCAACAGGTTTATCTACTGTTCTCCCTCCCCGGGCCCAAATGAAACTAGCTTATGGGATGAGTCGTCAAACTGTCAAACTGCTTCAGACCTGGGTCACAGATGGTCATCTTTCCAGCCTATTATGCGTATTCCAAGTGATCTACCTGGCCCACCAGGGAGCTGAAACCGTCTGAATGAGCATGGCATATGGACCCAAAAGGGAAACCACTGGGTTATTCCTAGTCAGAGGTATTGAAGCTTCTTCCTTATACTACTTCAAGAACCACTACCTTGAAATGCTACCAATTCGGGGAAAAAAAAAAAAAAGAAAGAAAGAAAAAAAAAGATTCTATCTGTAAGTGTGAAGCTGGAGCACTAAAGTAGTAATAGCTGATAGACTGAGAAATGTGTTACAATACTCTTACAACAAAATATAAGGTGATGGGGTGCCTGGGTGGCTCACTCCTTAAGCGTCTTCCCTTGGCTCAGGCCATGATCCCAGGGTCCTGGGATCAAGACCCGCAATGGGCTCCCTGCTCCTAGGGGAGCCAGCTTCCCCCTCTTCCACTCCCCCTGCTTGTGTTCCCTCTCTCACTGTCTCTCTCTGTCAAATAAATAAAATCTTAGAAAATATAAGATGAAATTATTACAACCAAGAACATTAGGATCACAATTGAAATAAAAATTTTCTATGTATTATAGAAGTTATGTGCATTTAAACCTTATTATCCATTGTTATGCAAACATATGTCTGTGTAATACTAGTTATATAAAGAGAAACCAAAACTTTACAACTATCATATGATCTCCCTGATATGAGGAAGTGGAGATGCAACATGGGGGGTTAAGGGGGTAGGAGAAGAATAAATGAAACAAGATGGGATTGGGAGGGAGACAAACCTTAAGTGACTCTTAATCTCACAAAACAAACTGAGGGTTGCTGGCGGGGGTGTTGGGAGAGGGGGTATGGGGTTATGGACATTGGGGAGGGTATGTGCTATGGTGAGTGCTGTGAAGTGTGTAAACCTGGTGATTCACAGACCTGTACCCTGGGGATAAAAATGTATTATATGTTTATAAAAAATAAAAAATTTAAAAAAATTTTTAGAAAACACAGAAATATACTCAATACCACATATATATATGGCAGCCTTCTATGATATGTGTGTACTCAAAATACTTGTCTATTTCTCTCATTAGGTTCTGAGCCTTTAACTCTAAAAATCCATGCCTATAGAATGTTTGCATCATCTTTAGCCTACACATATCAGAGTGGCTTTATAGAATAATAAAATAAATAATTTGTTGGATTATTCTTTTTTAGAAGAAACTGGGCTAGCTGAAGACTCTTGTTTAAAATGATAAAAACAAACCGGAACTATTCCACTACCCACTGACCTTACAAATCCACCAGTCATCCCGCTAAATCTAATTTTTTAGTTAGATCCATACTCTTTTTACTCTATTGTTGGCTTTTCTAGTTTCCATAGGGACAAAGCTACATTAAACTTAAATGTCCTTGTCCTCATTTTAGTTTTTCTGGGACACTAGGGCTATGTCTAGACATGACTAAATACCATGGGAGTGCAGAACCTAAATCGTTATGTTTATTCAACCTTACGATTCACTTGATTCACCTTTGATATTGAACCGCAGCATATCTGTGTAGACCTGATAAAATAGAGCAAATCAGCAAGCTAAAGGCCTTCTACTATGATGGCAGTCAAACTGAACTTAATCCTGTAGTGGCAAACTGATGTGAATAGGAATTCTAGGAATTCATAACTAGCCTGTCATGAGAAAAATAACATTCCTTGTAGGCCTCTTAGTAACATGTGTATCTTCAAATATCCATTACTGCCAACAGAATTCCAGATTTCCTTCTTAAATTTAGTTACCTTCACGTGAATTAACTTTAATCTAAGTTACTATTCTTAACTCTTTTTTGACTGAAAATATATATGTGTATGTGAAATTAAATGAATGAATTCAAAATACTAGCTGCGCTGTTAATACATCTATTGAGAATTTTCAATATTGGCATACGTTACTAAGCACATGAAAATACCCACAACAGAAACGTACATGATCCTTCTTCTGATGATCTTGTCAAAAGTTCTTCTTCAAAGAAATAGATTAGAAATGTCTTATAAATTAGGAAGTTTATAAGATATAAACCTATGTCATTTCCTACTACTGTCTAAAATTGTTTTTGTTTTGGAAACAGATGTTTTCATACAATTCACAATGCAAAGAAAGATACTTATACATATGATTACTAAATTAGAAATTTTTAAAAAAGTAAAATTAGATGTTTCAGGCAATTAGTTGCAGATTACTATATTATAATTTTGTTCATATAATTCAGAGGAAATTGGAATTTGATGCCTCGGGAAAAATAATTAAAGTTGGAGTTAGTAGATAGTTGATAGAGATATTTACATAGAAATAGAAATAGATATATAGATGTATGGATACAGAGATATGGAGAGTGTTAGCTTTCTTATACCTCCAAGCTTTGCACTTGCTGCTTTAGCTTGTCCTTCCCACCCTTTTGAATCGCTAACTTCATTTATCCAACAAAACATATTTCAGGAACTGTTACCTCTAAGAAGCCATCTCTATTCCTCTTTCTTAAATCTAGATGAAGTATTATTACTGAATAGTCTATTAGCACCCAATCATTATCTCCAAAACACTGAATATACAGAATTGTATTGTTCCCTTAAAAGAATACCATGTTTGACCCATGCCTATGACCTAGCCTGCACTCAGAAGAGCTGAATAGCTGTTTGTCTTATCAATGAATCATTTGGTCAGTGGGCAGATCAGGAGGGTGTGTCTGAACCAACACACACCAGTGGTTCTCAACATGGGCATCTGATAATGTTTGGAGACATTTCTGATTGTAAAAAATGGAGGGTGGGAGGAGTATTTGCTACTGGATTCTCACGGGAAGAAACCAGGTATGCAGCTAAGCATCTCTCAATGCACAGCAAAACTTCCCCGCCCCAGATAATAAGAATTATCTGACTTAAATTTCACTAATGCCAAAGTTAAGAAACGCTGGTATACACCTATGATGCTCTCAGAAAATCTCTATTTTCATATTCTTTGTGCAGCACAGCAGTAGCACGAGTTTCATTAATAGAAGTTAGCATATTTGGAGGCATTCCTTATAAATAAATCAAAATACTACTATTTAAGGAAATAAGAGTAATAAAAATTGAAATCATATATGGGGGAAATAGATTATTCTTATTATCCAACACCCTTAAATCATTTTTCATATAACTAATGTAACTATTATTATAAGTGTTCTTATTTATGCTTTAATAATTTCTCAACATTCATGATGGCATGCATGAAAAAACACGACAACACTGATATTATTAATGCCTCCATTTCCTCTACTACTTAAGCTAGTAACATAGAAACCAGAAGTTTAGACATAGGGTATATATAAATGGGCATTTTCAGAAGTTCATTACCCAATATCATTACCGAATTTATTAAAGGGGGAGATTGGCAGTAATGGAGCACAGTCACTAAGTATCTTCTATGCAACAATTACAGTAATTAAATTGTTCTGAACAGTATATATGCTTGTTGTAAATTGCAATGAATACACAATGAGTATTGATCCTCATTGTACAACTTAATTAAAACTTGTCTGGGAGAAGCCACTAATGAATATAATTAGAGGGAATGTTTGATATTGCAGTTATTCTGAAAGACATTAATTAGATATCAGAAATTTTATGGAAAATGTTTTTATTCTATTATTTATATTTTAAAAATAAAGTCACACTATTAAACTGAAAGACAGTCTTCAAGGTCATTTTCCTCAGCCATTTTATAATTACAATGAAAATGGGCATATTAGTTGGTATTCTCATCAATAATTAAGAAGACGGATTCTCCAGGAGAAATAACTCTTCAGGGGTCAATGAGTATATAGTCTATTACAAATTCCTAAAGTTAATATAGGAAAAAAAGATTAACTAATACAGGAACTTTTAGGAAGTAAAAATAAGTTAACTGTCTATCCAAACGAATAACAGATTACAACTGAAACTAATTCAAACTAATCTGAAGTATACTTTAATTTTATTACTATACACTAATAAATTTAACACTTTCTTGAACAGAGAAAAGCCTTTAAAGAATTTACTTTCAGAAAAGTCAGA